ATAATGTAAGCTTATAACTAGACACACGAAAAATATACTAAATTGATATACTCATTAAGCATATTTTGTATTTTGGGGAAGCAAGGAGCTATTTGTAACAGGGTAACTAGTTTAGCAGACGTTTTTCAGTAGGATTCTAAACGATATTTAATTTTTTTCGTCCACAGCATATGTAAACCGCCCTGCATTGTATTGTCATAGCTACTATCACGCAGGCCGACGCTGTAAACAGAATTGTGCAAATGTGTCATTTTTGACATGTAATATAAATTTGATCTATCATAAAATTCGGTTTGCGTTATTAGCATCGACTAATTTTAAATTTCATGTATCTCATTTTGTTTCAAATTTATCAGTCTTTCATAATGTGTAATAGTTTTTGTGATTGCTAAATTGTTTAAATAGTTATCTTGATTAATGTGAATAATAACACTTGGGGTTTGTTGTCGAACTCGACCGATCGTCACACAAAACTGATGAATGGTAGTCTTCATCGAGTTACATTGAATGATTTTTAAGCTTTTTGAGTTTTTAGTAAACATCAATCCAAAGTCAAAAATCGGCTTACATACACCCACACGCGCACACATAATTTTTTCGAATTTGGTCTCATTCGATTCAGAATGACTTTGAACTTTGCAAAACATATAATTAGCAAATCGAATTTTCTCGCGTAAACAAACTTTTCCTTCGGTTAAATAAATAAAAATAAATGTCGATATGTCAATGTTCATTCAACATCGAAACAATATTCATTAATAACGTGAGAATAATATTCAATAGTTGATGTTAAAAAATGTTACATCAATATTTATATTTCAATTTGATTAGAACAATATTGCGTTGCGTACTCAGTTCGATATAGCTCAATCGATGCGAGACCAACGTTGGCCCGATCATTGAAGAACCGACGTTCGTCAATATTCGGACAATATCGACAACTCATCGGCAATCTAGGCCACATATTTTGAAGATAATTCTATGTTGGCCCAACATAGAACAGAGGTTGATTTCTAGATGGGTTTTTGCTACAGTAGATGTTACAACTCGCCCCAAACACGGGGAAAGTTGCCCTTTTTTACATTGGTTAATTGTAAAATAATAAAAAATAGTGGAATTATTGTTACTTGATTCGGCAGAGGAATGGTTACAGCAACTATTTATCGTATAAATAAAATCAATCTTGAGATTCAAAATATATTAAATAAAAAGAGAACGGTTACAATAAGCCCCTAGGTGACCTATTAGTTTTATGAATCATTGACTTTTATTTATTTACCAAACCTATATCGATCTAGATATAAATCTTATAATTTTCATACTACTCGTCTCATATAAATACTAGTTTCATTTAATAATCAGCAAACCTTATAAACATCCAAATTTCCACAAATTATATCAAACTGGTTGTAAAGGCTCTGCAACATAGCAATAACCATCATCGGGGTCGCCGTGGAGCAAATCGACGTAAAGCCAACTATATCGCTGAACAACATTGAAACGTTGTCGTGCGTTTTTGCTTCAATCGCTTCACCTTTAAATATTATAATTAAAGTTTGTTAAAACAAAATTACGTAAACAGTATAAGACTAATGTAATTACCACCATTTGCCTTTGAACAAGCTTATTACTAATAATAGTCGCATAGATACTAAGTTATTAGCTACACGATATAAAAATTGACTTCTTCAAAGAAAAATAATGCAATATAAAAAATTTCAAACGACTAAAACCTGTTTAAACGATAAAATCAATTGATTGAATTAGCAATTTCAATCTTCAAAAAATGCTGTATTATTGTTTAGCAATGAGTAAAATTTTTACATAAATATATAAGATTTAAAATTAAAAACAAATATCTAATATCAACATTTCACTTTGTTGAATCTGTTTCCAAATTGAAAGAAACCGATACAGCATTTTATTGAAAGGAAGTAAAAATTTCTTTTGGTAATTTATTGCGAGCTTTTACTTTTACTCAAAATAATATTTGTAAACTAACTAATATTTATAAAAGTGCCAAAACTTATCCAAAGTCGAAAAGTAAACTTTCTAGGTTGACAAACAGTTAACGAATTCACAAAAATTCATAAGAAAATGACACAATAGTTCCGGGACATGGTAAAACTTTATTATAATGATGCACATTCCAAATGATTTGGTAATTTTCAATAAAATAAAACACAACGCTTTTCACTACGTTTTGAAATTTAATTGCAAAACTTACCGAGCCAAAGTTTTTTTGCTATATCAGGAGGAAAGATTAAATGTAATAAGCACACATTTTTCTCTCGTTCTTTGTCTACTGCTAAATTTGCTTCTTCTATTGAGTTTTTCAATTTGTCCATACGTCTTCTGAGACCATCCTGGAAACATTATTATTAAAACAATGTACAAAGCTAATCACTAAAGATTTAGCAGTAAAAAATATTTGATAATTTTTTTATAATAGGCAAATTGATAGAAAATTATTAGGTTACTTGGAAAAATTTTTGCTTCCTTAAAACCTTTGTATAATCATAATTTCAATCAATTGAAACCACAGATAAAACCCTTTTAATCAATTACCTGAGCTCGAGCTTGTTCTCCTACTAATATAACATCTCTTGTAGCGTCATGAAGTGGAATATCTGATAAAAACAAACCGCGACCTGTTAAACCTTCTAATCCGTTCAAGAATGGTGAACCAGCAAACATCAAGCAATCACTTTCTGGACAAAACACCATCTGGCCTTTCAGCTCTAATCCCTGGAAAAAATGTGATAATTAAGAAAAACAAAGCGTACGTTCGCACCTTTTTAGTAGAACTATCCAAAATTCGATCGTACATAAATACAGAAATCTTTTAATTATTTATCATAATGTGATCAGTTACAACGAACCATAACAGGAAATTGTCCACGCCCGGGTGGTGGTTCCAAGGCAACTACAAATGGCGTATTGGTCCGTTTTTTAATTTCCTGAAAATTCATCGCTAGTCCGCAAGGTCGAACAAAACGAAAATAATTTTCGGCTCTTCGACCAGCTCGAATGACATCTGCTCCAAAAACTCTCGCAAAACCAGCACCTGGGAAAAATAAAATATGTACACTTTTTGAAGTAAGTAAACAAATCTATTATATAAGAACTTACCCAGTTGTACCAGTTCCAATTTTCTATCCATAATGAAATGCCAGGGAAACGCTTTGCAGAAACTTGCGACTCCAATCTGCAGATCATTAGCATTTGTAGACAGCTTTCTCATATGGACACTTTCAGGACAAATATCATCGATGATAAGTTTTTTCTGCACACTTTCGCTATCCTCTGTAATCGTGTATCTGAAGTTCAAAAACAAACCGGTATCCTTTATTTGTAATTAATCAATCAGTTCTAAAGAACTCGTAATATTAATTTTATGAATATTGTGTAATCATTTACATTCAAACAAACCTGAACGTTCTAGGATCTTCAGAAGTTGGATGCATCTGTACTTCCACTTTCGTGTTGTAAAGTAAATAGGCAACAGCGCGAAGACACCCCACCAGTAAAGAAGCCACGGTAGGTCGATCTGTGGTAAATAGCAGTTCACCAGGACCTGCACAAACAAAACCCGCATCTGTCTGGTCAGACTGCGTCTTTCCCTGAAATAATTACGCATAACAACGGTTGGCGACATAAGTGATAGAAATAATAGATAATGTCAAATATATTATTATAAAATATAAATTTCGTATAGTTATTAAGTTGTTTTTATTGCAATTTAAGAATTATATGTTTATTTACAATCATCGTTCTTCAACCTACCTGCTGAAGTTGCAAGACGTCATGCACACCGTCTAATGTTGCCAAAAATCCCCGAAGATCAGGCCCGAGAGCTTTCAGGGCGCGTTCGGTTACTCTATTTCTGCATGCTATTGTTATAATTTCTTCTCCTATCATGTATATAAATTGGTCCCCTTCTATGCCTGAATACAAAGACATTTTTCAAACTTTGTTGAAGTACTCGTAATTTACTTTCGGCTAAAGCAATATTACATAAAATAAATTACTGCCAAATACTGTATGTAGGCTAAGGTTTCCGATGTAACAAAAAATAATTCTTATCAGCACAATATTAATATTTTATATTATGATAAATATATTAGCAACATCTAGCAAAAATTAGTAGAAAGAATTGTAATTTTATACAAAAAATATGATAACTAATCAATAAATTTAATTTTATATATCATCTTCAAGACCTATATAAAGATATTGTTCTTGGATTGTTGATATTACTCTTGTATTAAAATGTTCTTAAAAATCAGCTCAATTTATATAATAATCAAAGATCGTAAGAAATAATATAATATGTTTGATTAAAATATGTATAAATAATAATAATTATGATACCGATAAAAATAAAAGTCACATAGAAATCCACTTTCTTATTAGTCTACTAGAAACTGACGTGGATCTAGAGAGAATCTTTCCTAATTTGAATAAAAAAGTACATTAGTTAGTATTTAAATAATATTAAAATAATGCCTAGATCCAATTTTCTTTTAATAAAGATTTCTAAAAATACTAATCTATGAGTACAAAGAAAATGCAAATCTTTTTAGATATGTTTCTAATAAATATAGATACCTCAGTATTTTAAAAACTTGGTAGTGTGAACTCATTTCGATAAAAAATAATATTTAGGCATTTAAGTAACAACAAACGGCTATAAAATATCATTTCATAATCAAGATATTCTTATCACATTTACTATTTTAACCTTTTCGACTCGCATGCCGCCGCTCCTGCGGCAAAATGCATACAAATCTTGCAATTCGCGAGTGGAAAGGGTTAATATCCCTATTTATTGTTTAAAAAAAGTATTATCCTATAAATAAATACCTTCTTCACTGGAAACAGCTATGCGAACATCTTCCAAATAATCATAATTTGGATTATTATCCACATCTTTTGGTAACTTGTCGCTAAAAATATAATTAATGCAGAATAAATATCATTCAAAATATATAGAAATATATATTTAAATAAAAATATCATACTCACAGAAATCTTGTAAAATTGTTATTTTTTAGCAACAATGATTCAACGGCTTCTTGCAGTTTTTCATTCTGTAATTCAATTTAAATCATGTCACATGTATAATTTCTTTCAAAACATTTTACAATTGTGAAACGTTTAAACTGGTTAGTTTATTTTTAAAATATACAAGCATTAAATTATTTATTCAAGAAAAATAATATAAATTGGGTCGATTAAAAATTATTTATATAGTTCTGTGTTTAAATATTGGTGGTTACTTTAAAAGATGTTTTTCGACATTTTGATGAATATTGCAGCAAAATTATCAATATATAACATATTATCCAATTTTAATTTGATTCTCAACATACATTATTTTCACGTAATTTGGTGGTAAACACCAAAAAACACAGAAATTAATTTAAGTAGGTACAAAAATTAGCATAAAATTGAATCATCCACATTCTCATCCATAACCTCAATTATTATTATTTATATACTTCATACTATATTTAATCATTTTCAAGGTCTCTATATTTATTTGAACGCCATTTTACAATGAATGTATTAATCTAGTAACAATTCATTAGCATCTACAAACACATTTTTAACTTTCCGTAGGGTAAGTTATTGCAATCGTCCAAAAATCGAAATTGAAAATTTTTGCATATCTTCATGTTTAGCATATCTTAGAAAAAGTGGATGGCGTATGTTTACAATTTTTCGTCAACGTTTTCGGGTGCACAGATCAACCGATTTGATTGGTTTAAAAAACATTCGATTCTTATTGATAGGGAGATGTGATAATTGGCTTTTGTCAAAGGCAGGTCTGGCCGTTTTCGAGATATGGAGCAAAAAGTGCAGAAAATATAAATCGAGTTTTTGAAAGAATGGAGCATCCGATTTGAATATTTCAAAAAATATTGCTTGTGTTGACGAAACAATTGCTTTTGGAAAATATTTTTTTTTGTTTTTTATTTCAAAATTATTTTTTTCCATTTTTTTTGTATATCAAAAATAATTCGGATTTTAATTTTAATTCTAGCTAAAATTCTAAAGCTTACTTATATACTTTAAATAAATAGTTTTAACTTTGCAATTCAGTTTATATAATTCTTATAAATAGTAGACAATGTCCTTCATTTTAAATCCGGTTGATTAAGTTTTGTTTATTTACTTTTTTGTAATACATATATAAACGCCATTGTCCAATTCATAAGCTCTTATATTTTGTATATAAAATAAAAATAATGAAAATTACAGTCTTTAAAATAAAGTGTTTGAAAACATTTAATATCCCTCGAATTTTTCGTTACGATACGGGAAGTACCAGCAATTTGCCTTAAGGCACGATCACATACACCACTAGTTATGTTACCCATTAATTATTGAAATTAATGCGTAATATACATGCTATTTTACTTATAATATATACTGTTTAAAATTGATAATGAACAATATGCTAAAATTATCATCAAAATCCAGAATTCGCCTGTGATTGAAGATATGATTGAATTCAAAATATATTTTTATTAAAGTTAATGTTTATTCGAGTCAAGAACCAATATGAAAACAAAATTACTCAATAGTTTAAATACCTCTATAAAATATATATACTTTATAATACATTCGTCATGGAAAATGGCAGAATTTTGTGTATTAACAAGTATACTCGTCCCGAACATTGACTATTTAAATTGAAATTTTGCAGAAAAATAAAATATAATCTCAAATTTCAAGACGTTTGAAATATTTCGAGGTTACGCCGATATAAAATAAGTAGTTGTAAGTGGCATTTTACCTGAAGCAAGTTGTATGAACTTTCCTATATGCTCGATTTGCAATTCATATATTTTAGACAAATCTATAGTACATGTAATTGCATTAATTAATTTTTTTTTGTAAAATGATTTCTTGCACACGGTTTGTACAAAAAAAAGGTTTTTTGAATTCATTAAATCAGATGATCTGTTCTCTCAAATACTGCATGACCATTTTTACACCTTTTGCGCTCCATTCCTCCGAAACGGTTCCATACTTTCGAAACGTGCCTTTTGCAAAAACAACTCACAATCGAGTACAAACCGAATGTTTTCTCAATCATACAAATCGGTTAATCATCATATCAATCATATAAATGAACTTCAAAATGAAAAAAAAAACAACAACCCTAAAAAATGGACCCAAAAACAAAAAAAAGACACAAACTATGTATACATTATTAAAATATCTGATAATTTGATGTGCATAGGTCTAATAAACATTTTTGACCGCCAAATGGCGTTTTTTATTATTTATTGACAGTCCATAACCGCTGGACCTACCTTTCCAAAAATTTATACAGTTCTTCGTTTAGTCAATATAAATAAAATGTTTTTTTAATTATTCAAATCGGACGCTCTGTTCTCTCAAAAACTGAGTTACGACTTTTGGTTCTAATTGTCTCGTATCTTCGAAACGGCTAGACCTGCCTTTGCCAAAAATTAATCAGCACGTCTCCTTATCAATACAAATCGATTTTTTTAGATTATTCAAATTCGGTTGATCCGTGCTCCCGAAATTGTTAACAAAAATTTGCATCCGCACACGCGCACACACGCATACACACACATATGCATCCATATTGTCTAATAAGGTATGCCAAAACATTCAGAAACCTCTGAAACGTAAAGAATATATAAACGTAAAGATATATAAAAAAAATCATTTTAGTTATAGCGATTACTATAACTAACCCTACGGAAATTTAGAAATTCCAATTATATAATGCCTATGCCAAATCTAACAAATTTGGTCTTTTCGTCTTGTGGGGATGTGTGTAGAAAGCAAGTCTTTCGCAAATTAATTCACATGGTTTTCAAGTCTTGTAATTTCATACTACTAATCTAGTAACATTAGTAAAATTCAACCCTTATGATGTATCAAAAGTCAATAAATAAAAAAAACTAGTGGGGTGTATGGCATCGTGCCTTAAGGCAAATTGCTGGAACTTCCCGTACCGTAACGAAATGTTCGACGAATACTGAATGTTTTCCAATAGATTATTATTAATATTGTAACACTGTCTAATATTTATAAAAATTATATAAACCGAATTGCAAAGTTGAAATTATTTGTTTAAACTAAAGTATATTAGAACTATAGTCAGAATTAAAAATAAATTTTGAATTATTTTCGATATACAAAAAAACTTTTTTTTGAAAAAAAAGTTGAAACAAATTTTTTTTTCCAAAATCAATTATTTTGTTAAGACAAGCAGAAAGTTCTTTGAATCATTTAAATCGGACGCTTAGTTCTCTCAAAAACTGCCATTTTTGCACATTTAGCTCTTCAAAATGGCTGGGCCTGCTTTTGCCAAAAACTAATGAACACTTCTCCCAATCATTACCAATTGAATGTTTTTTAGATCATTCAAATCGGATGCTCCGTTCTCTAAAATAACCGGATTTCTATTGTCTGCACTCTTTGCTCTTTATCACCGTAATTTCTGGACCTGTCTTTGTCAAAAACTAATCAGCTCATCTCCCTATCAATAGGAATCGAATGTTTTTTGAACCATTCAAATCGGTTGATCCGTGCGCCCAAAAACGTGACTGAAAATTTGTATCCATACATACATACACACTCACACACACACACATCCATTTTTTCTGAGGTATGCCAAAATGTTCAGTAACCTTTAAAACGTCGAGAAATGTAAAAGTTTTTAATTTCGATTTTCGGCCCATTACAATAACTTACCGGGAAGTTAAAAAAAAATTCAACTCACCGCTGGCGACGTGAGCAATTGAATCGCGTCGCTCAAATGCTTCAGATTAAGGGTGTCCTCCGGCACAGCGACCTCGTTGTCGATAGCACTGCTCGGCTGCACGGAACTCTGGCGCTGCAGGGGAGCCGCTTTTCCGGATGCCGCTGTCGGGCCCTGGCTGGACATGCGCCGGAACGGACACGACATGCTGGAGATAAACAGACAAACAACAAATTATACTAGCTGTAAGTGGAATTCTGTCTTAAGGCAACTAGGACATCGTGCCTTAAGGCAAATTGCTGAAACTTCCCGTACCGCAATTCAAAATTCGAGTAATTAAAAATAATCAATAATAATCAAAAACGGCATGATCATTTTTTGCACCCTCTGCTCCAACAAACTCGTACTAAAATGACAGCGGGACTCGATAGCGCAATAGCGCGCGTAGCACTAAAACAATATAATATTTGTATTTATTATTGAAATTTATATAAAACTAGTAAACCCGACGAACTCAGTTTCGCCACCAGATGGTTTCGTGAGAAAGATGAAGAAATTTTTTGTTTGTTTTATATTTTAAAAGGAAAAATTTGATTTTATTATACAACAGTTCGAATTTATTTTGATTACAAAATTGAAGTGTTTTTTAGTTGAACTTCTCTAAGTAAATGAAAGTGAATCCGCAAATTATCCGTTTCATTGAAGTGCTCTTTGGTAAACCACATTTTTTGTTTTTTGGTCTGACGTTAACACAAACAAAGCGGATGGTTTTTCAACTCGTGAACAGGCAACGTATAACTGCCCATGTGAAAAACAATGATTTTCTCAATAATCTATTTGAAATTTATCCCGCAAACACTAAGCCATTGGCCTTGCGACATGTTATTGCGAACGCAAGGCGAACTGGATATTGCAATCGCTTGAAGTCAAACGGAAGACCAGTAGGAATCATTGGTATGTCACCAAATCGCCAGCAATTTTTGATTGAATGGTAAAATTCAGGGCGTGTACATCATTATTCTTTGCGGCAAGAATTGCTCGTTGACTTAACCAAGCATAATTCTGATAATTCTCACGGTTTCGGTTCGTGCGTTCTGGAGTTATTTCGTCAGGAAGGAAAACCCGTCTTATTTTTATATATATAGAAGATAATTGATACTCTGATGTGCATATGTCTAATGTTCATTTTTGACCGCCAAATGGCTCATTTTTTTACATTTTCCTCCATATCTCCAAAGTCGTTGGACCTGCTTTTCCAAAAATTTGAGCAGTTCTTCATTTAGTCAATACAAATAAAATAATTTTTGAATTATTCAAATCGGACGCTCCGTTCTCTTAATAACTGAGTTACCGTTTTCGGCACTTTTTGCCCCGTATCTTCGGAACGGCTAGACCTGCCTTCGCCAAAAACTAATCAGCACGTCTCCTTATCAATACGAATCGAATGTTTTTTGAATTATTCAAATCGGTTGATCGGTGTTTCCGAAATCGTCGACGAAAATTTGTATCCCCACACACACACACACACACATACATCCATATTTTCTAAGGTATGCCAAAATATTCAGAAACCTTTGAAACGTAAAAGTATACAAAAATTTTCATTTTCGATTTTTTTGCGATTACTATAACTTGCCCTACGGGAAGTTAAAAACTTATAGCTAGTGCAATATGGCATTTCGACTATAAATAATTATCATAATAATTAAAATAATTAACTTCTAGCAATTTAAAATCCGCTTGACTGAACAGGCTCCGGAATGGGCACGACATTTTGGTATAAATAGTCAATTGTAAAATAATCAAGAGGTGTATGTCACTCGATTGTAAACAAATATCAAAACGAGGTGTAATGAGTGCTATAACACTTTGCTTTAACAAATTCACTGCTGCGCACGAATATGTGGCCTGAGACCGTTGTCAATAGCCAGGCGCCGAAGGCAATAGGTGCGTTTGCTTTCCTTGCACTTAAGAGTAGTATTTTTAGCAAGAGAGAAAGTTTAAATTGAAATTGTGTATGTACTGTAATTACTTCAAACAAAAATGGTCCTATTTTGGTACATTTTAACTTCCCGTAGGGTAAGTTATAGTAATCGCAAAATAATCGAAAATGCAAATTTTTATATATCTTTATGTTTCAAAACCTTCTGAACATTTTGGAATATATTAGAAAAAATGAATGTATATGTATGCGTGTGTGTGTGTGTGTTCGAATACAAATTTTCGTCGACGATTTTGGAAACACGGTTCAACCGATTTGAATAAATAAAAAAACATCATATTGATAAGAGGACGTGCTGATTAGTATTTTAGGCAGATCTAGCCGTTTCAAAGATATGGAGCAAAAAGTGCCCAAAACAGTAACTCCGTGTTTAAGAGAACGGAGCGTCTGATTCTAATAAATCAAAAAAAACATTTTACTTGTATTGACAAAATAAAGAACTGATTAAATTTTCGGGAAGGCAAGTCCAGCAGTTTCGGAGATCTAATAAAAAAAATAAAAAAAGACATTTGGCGGTCAAAACTGATAATTAGACATATATGCACATCAAATTATCAGACATTTTATAGAAATTTTAATAATACGTATAAATTTTGTTCACATTTTTATGGGTTCCGTTATATCGTTTGTCCGTTAGACTGCGACGCGGCGCTGACGCGCTTTGATATTTCATCTCTATGCAGCTAAAGCAGCGTGATTGCTTTGAAAAAAAGTTCAGAATTTCCAAAATATTTCAAAATATGAAAAAATGCATTTTTATTCAAAAATTTAAAATTTTTCAAAAATCTAATTTTTTCAAAGTTTAAAAAAAAGTTCAATCTTTCATAAAAATTTTAATTTTTGGTACGGGAAGTGCCAGTCTTAATTTCCAGTTTTATTTAATATTAAACGAATAAATAGTTCAACACAGAAAGAAGTATAAGCCACACAAGGTTAGCAGTGATTGTATAAAGACAAATTTAAGTTAATTTTTTTAACATTTATTCACGTAGACACGGCTTGAACGATTATTGCCAGACATTTTTCAACATGATTTCCGGCTGATATCTTACAACAATTTTGAATTTTGAAAATTGTTTTTTTTTGAAAACGTGGACAATTGTTTTTGCACTTTTTTGTTAACCCTGAAGATCGTCTCACAAAACTAATTATCGCTAGGTCTTACCGAGTTTTATCAAACAATTTTCAAATTGTTTTAGTCGTCTTTGAGAAACTGTCGAAGAAGGGTTAAATTTTTGCTGACATCACAAAAGCGCTGCTCATTTTTTCAATCTTCGAAGAATTATTAAAATTGCCGCAGGTCTGTAATATTTTAGTATGTTCTTTAAGTCCATAATCTCTATCAACAGTTTTATCAAGTTTCATCTAAAATTTTATTTCTTTTCAATTAGTTACGAAGAAACGACTCTCATGATCTTCGATAAAAGCTAGTCAGCACTATTTCCAACCCATTTTTTTCGATCAGTTTCTGTATATTTAAATTGATTCGGAATTTTTGGCTAAAACTTGGACAAAAAAAATTTAACTTTTTTGCTAATTATAAAGGCAAGGCCTGACAGATCGTCGTATAAAACTAATAAGAAAAACTTATTAGTTTTACTTTCAAGAATCCATGCATGAGTGTATTTGTATATTTGTGAGCCAAAATTTGAACGGCTGCTCCGATTTAAAAAATTATAAGTCAAAATTATAAATAGCTCCGAAAAAAATAGTTTATGTGCTATCTTGTTATTTATTTTCTCTACA